TATCTAATAGCCACTTTAGACTAAATTGTATGCGTGCGTGTGTGTGTGTGTGTGTGTGTCCTGTTTCCTGAGTCTTAGAATATAATATAAAAGTGTAAATAAGCAGCCTGACGTTTGTTGGAATGTTTGAATGAGATGACAGTTTAATAGTTGGGTCTTCATGGAGCCTGAGCAACATGATATATTCATATATTTGGAGTATAGTTCATGATAAGATAATTATTCTGGCATTATTAGAAGAAGGAACATTTTTTTAAGTTCATTTATTTTTTGAGAGAGAGAGAAAGAATGCACATGCATGTAGGGGAGGAGCAGTAAGAGAGGGAGAGAGAGAGAAAATCTCAAGCAGGCTCTGCACTGTCAGTGTGGAGCCCAGTGCAGGGCTCAAACCCACAAACTGCAAGATCGTGACCTGAGCCAAAGTCAGATGTTTAACCGACTGAGCCACTCATCCCTAGAAGAGAAACATTTTGTTGCATGGGAATGTAGTACATTACAAAATGACTTTTTTTGTTTGTTTTTAAGGAAGGCAATGACTTAATGTTAAAAATACATTTTCTTTTCTTTTTTTTCCCTGCCGAGTTTTTTAAAAATTTAAATCCAAGTTAGTTAACATATAGTGTAATAATGATTTAAGGAATAGACTTAAGTGATTCATCACTTACATATAATACCCAGTGCTCATCCAACAAGTGCCCTCCTTAATGCCAATAGCCCATGTAGCCCATCCCCCACCCACCATCCTACAAACAGCCCTCAGTTTGTTCTCTGTATTTAAGAATCTCTTATGGTTTGTTTCCCTCTCTGTTTTTATCTTACCTTTGCTTCCCTTCCCCTGTGTTCATCTGTCTTGTTTCTTAAATTCCACATATGAGTGAAATCATATGTCTTTCTCTGACTGACTTACTTCGCTTAGCGTAATACCCTTTAGTTCCATATACATTGTTGCAAATGGTAAGGTTTCATTCTTTTTGATCACTGAGTAATATTCTATTGTATATATGTGTATGTGTATATGTATATATGTATACATATACGTATATATGTATATGTACGTATGTATATATGTATATACATATACACACGTATATATATATATATATACACACATATATACGTGTGTGTGTGTATATATATATGTGTGTATATATACATACCACATCTTCTTTATCCATTCATCAGTTGATAGACATTTGGGCTCTTTCCATACTTTGGCTAGTGTTGATAGTAGTAAAGAACCTCCATACTATTTTCTAGAGTGGCTGCACCAGTTTGCGTTCCCACTGGCAGTGCAAAAGGGTTCCTCCTTCTCTGCATTCTCTCTAATGCAGCTGAGTTTTTAATTTCAGCCATTGTGACAGGCGTGAGGTGGTATCTCACTGTGATCTTGATTAGTATTTCCCTGATGATGAGTGATGTTGAGCATCTTTTCAAGTGTTGGTTGGCCATCTGTAAGTCTTCTTTGAAAAAGTGTCTATTCATGTCTCTTGCCCATTTCTTCACTAGATTATTTGTTTTTTGGGTGGCGAGTCTGATAAGTTCTTTATAAGTTTTGAATACTAATCCTTTATCTGATACGTCATTTGCAAATATCTCTTCCCATTCCGTCAGTTGCCTTTTAGTTTTGCTGGTTGTTTCCTTCCCCGTGCAGAAGCTTTTTATCTTGATGAGGTCCCAATAGCTCATTTTTTTTAAATTTTTTTTTTTAATGTTTATTTATTTTTGAGACAGAGACAGAGCATGAATGGGGGAGGGTCAGAGAGAGAGAGGGAGACACAGAATCCAAAGCAGACTCCAGGTTCTGAGCTGTCAGCACAGAGCCCGATGCGGGGCTCGAACCCACGAACCGTGAGATCATGACCTGAGCCGAAGTCGGACGCCCAACCGACTGAGCCACCCAGGTGCCCCACCAATAGCTCATTTTTGCTTTTGTTTCCCTTACCTCTGGAGACGTGTTGAGTAAGAAGTTGCTGCAGCCAAGGTCAAAGAGGTTGTTGCTTGCTTTCTCCTTCAGGATTTTGATGGCTTCCTGTCTTAACGTTCCTGTCTTTCATCCATTTTGAGTTTATTTTTGTGTATGGTGTAAGAAAGTGGCCCAGGTTCTTTTTTCTGCATGTCGCTGTCCAGTTTTTCCAACACCATTTGCTGAAGAGACTTGTGTTTTTTCCCACTGGATATTCTTACCTGCTTTGCCAAAGATTAGTTGGCCATATGTTTGTGAGTCCATTTCTGGGTTCTCTGTTCTGTTCCATTGACCTATTTGTCCGTTTTTGTGCCACTACTATACTATCTTGATGATTTATAGCTTTCTTTCTAATCTTACTGGTTGCTGGTGTTTGAACCCAAATGGTGATTGCTGCTGAGACTGATACGTCTAGTAATATCTGTATTACTATATTAGTGATGGTATTTAAGTATTTAGAGCATTAACCTCTAAATCTCTAATATTTGTCCAGGACGCCATGCCTTCTGTCATCAGAGATATAACAAGCCTCTCCAGCATTTGCTTTAATGTACATGTGGTGCTCTTAATGAGGCAGTATTGAGGGGCAGGCAATCTTGATTTACTTTACAAAATAAAATTCAAATTAATGCTCTGACATTTTGTATTTGTGTGGCTTGTCATTTAACGTTAGGAGTAACTTATTTAAACCTGTGGTATAATAGTAAGAAGAAGAACTCTAGGAATGCTGAAATGCAAACCCCTGTAACTACTATTAATGGCTTGGTGAAATTTTACCCACTCCCTAATTTCATACGGGGTACTTTGATAAAGGTAAAGGCCCACACTTAACAATGAGCATATTAGAAAACTGTGACAGGATCAGCTAATTGAGTGAGTGAGCAGTTAATTTAGTTTTAGCCTGTGTGGCCAGCTAGCAGAAGACAACTCATTCAGAGGCAGAAGTGGGTTAACTGGAAGAAGGCCTATGAGTAGATGGTCTGAAAAGAGGTAAAGCGGGCAGGGGAAGAGGAGATGGTCTGTAGAGCCCTAGAGGAGAGCTCAGGGCAGAAGAGAAGCTCTTGAATACAAAGCGCTAGGAGTATTAGGCAAGGCAGTAGGCTGAGAAGACAGCCCCTCGTTGGCAGTGAGGGTTGAGGGGAAATGGGAAGGCCATAGGATGTAATAACGTGCTTTTCTAATGTGGAACACATGCTATTGCCAAAATGTTCTGTAATTCTACATCGAAGACAAATGAGGAAGGAAAAAGGGGATAGATAGGGGCAACAGACACAGGTAAATAAGGAGGGAACTGGTCAGCCAAGAGGTGAATTGCGGGTGTGGAGTAGAAAGTGGAAAGGGAGAGCAGTAGAGAAGGAAAGAAATAGAAGAGAAAGGACAGGATGAAAAAGAGAATCGTACCTTTCTAGATTTGTAGTCTTTAGAATTATTTGGAATTGTCCATTTGAGATACTAGCTGTGATTTGTATTTCTTTGGGGTTTTTTTGGTCAGATTTTTAATAAGTATATTTGCTGAGAACTAGGAAGAGTTTTCCTTTAAAGTTTCATGATTTGTTTTTGTTTTTCAGCAGAGGAACCACAACAGCCTGACCTAGGGATATTATTCTGTGGGTTATATTCGTTAGCAAGATAACATTAGCTTTATAGCAGAAGAAATGAATCAAGACAAAGGCCAAACTGAAGATTTCCGTTCCTGTGCTAAACTCTGTCGTCAAGTGTGGCCATTAGCTTTTATCATTTAAACATTTGTCATCTTCTGTGTTTCAAGCACTAATCTAAATGTCAGAGATAAAAGGAGGCATAGGACATTGTTCCTGCCTTCAAGGATCAGGCTGGTTAATGGGAAAGACAAGTGATGGGTACATATAAAGTGTTTTGGCAGCATGAAGAGGGAGCTCTGTGAAAGAATTGTGCCTGTAGAGGTAAAGAGGGGTTTCCAGAAAGTGATCTTGTGCCCCTGTTTGTAAATGTGAAAGTTAGGTGGAGCCTTGCTGGCAGAAGGCTAGATTGCACACGTTTGGACACTAGGAGACCCTTTAATGTAGTGAGAACATAAAATGCAGGGGCAGGAGGAAAGAGGTGGGGGGTGATGAAAAATGAAGCTGAAAGAGGATGTTGAGGCCAGATTCTGAAAGATTGCTGGTGAAGGAGTTGGATGTTTTCCCTTGGGGTGTGATAACACAGGGTAGTTCTGGTGGTACATAGGTGGGCAAACAAATCAGTGAGACGGAGAAGGTGATTCAGAAACAACCTCCAGAACATATCACTATCGTTAAAGGTAGTCCTTTAGGTCATTGGGAGAGACCGCAGTGGTGCTGGAACAAGTTGAGAAGGACAGTTTAGTTTGAGACTCTTTGAGAAGGACAGTTCAGTTACTTGTTTGAGACAATAATTTATGCGAGCATTTATGTTAAGAATCTCAGATTTAAGGGGCACCTGGTGGCTCAGTCAGTTAAGAGTCCAACTGTTGATTTCGGCTCAGGTCATGATCTCCTGGTTTGTAAGTTGGATCCCTACGTCAGGCTCCGTGCACTGACTGACAGCGCTGAGCCTGCTTGGGATTTCTCTCCCTCTCTCTCTGCCCCTCCCCCACTTGTGCTTGCCGTGTGTGCGTGTGTGTGTGTGTGTGTGTGTGTGTGTGTGTGTCTCAAAATAAATAGACTTAGAAAAAATATTAAAAAAAATAAAGAATACCAGATTTAAAAAAAAAGAATATCAGGGGCACCTGGGTGGCTCAGTTGGTTAGGCAACCGACTTTGGCTCAGGTCATGATCTCACAGTTCGTGAGTTCGAGCCCCGCGTCAGGGTCTGTGCTAACAGCTCAGAGCCTGGAGCCTCCTTCGGATTCTGTGTCTACCCCTCTCTCTCTACCCCTCCCCTGCTCACGCTCTGTATCTCTCTGTCTCTCAATAATAAATGAACGTTAAAAAATTTTTTAAAAAAATAGAATATCAAATTTAGAGAAACTCTGGCTTCATAACAAAATAGAATCTGATGTTTCAGGCCATTTTTCTTACCCTGAAACTTTTTTTTGTAGCATCTGCAGAAAAAGAGGCAATCAAGGGTACATACTCCAAAGTGCTTGATGCTTATGGACTCTTAGGTGTTTTACGATTAAATCTTGGTAAGTTTATTTTTCAATATAATTAATCTTTTTCAATTCTTTGTTTTAATTGTAAGGATTTGAGGGAGACTGTTTATCATTTCAGACTCCATATGTGAGCTGAAAGTGTGGTAACATCTTTTAAATCCTAATTATGCTAATCTTGGGGAAATGTTTGTTGACTGAAAGGTATGCTACATACTCAAGCTCTCGTGATTTTAAGTTCCAGAGACATTATTCTGTGTGAACACTTTGAAGGATTGGTATCAGTGGTCAAAAGAGAAAATCAGGGCATCGCCCTTTTTCTTTGTTTCAGTGCTTTCGGAAACGATGTTTTAGTGAGAACTGCACTGATTACCCTGGTTTATACTGGAAAGGACATCTGCTTTGTAGTTAAAAGGTCTCAGCTTGAATCTGTCTCTGCCACTTAATGTCACCGTGGGCTGCAGAGTAACCTTTGGGATTACCCGTTTGTCTGTAACCGTATGGCTAGAAGTGTGGCCCAAGACCCGGTGCCAGTCCGTGAGCCATTTCGCTATTGGTCTGTGATGAGATAAGGAAGCTTGTAACATCATGCAGATCAACACATGGCTTCCTTCGTTGATAAAGTCCTACTATGAGAAAAAAGGTCCGCTAAACTAAACAGTGACTTTGGCAAGGTAATTGATTTTCATTTCACAAGCGTCTTCTCTCACTGTGACAGGTTATGGGCCATACTCTGAAGCGTACTGGGCTGTAAAGTGGAGGTTTGTCACTTGTTATGCATCTATCACACGTAAAGCCCTGTGCCAGGTGCTTAACTAATACTGTCTTAGGTACTCCTCACAGTCCAGTGAGATTCATTTTAGTGCTGGTTTATAAGGGAGCAGATCTCAGGTCGGGTTATGTTCACACCCTGAAGTTGGGTTGGATTATAAGTAGTGGAGCCAGGATCCAGGGCCACCTCTGCCTCATCACAGCCCACGCTCAAGGTACACCGCTGCTGAATTTCGCCTTCATACTCATCTCAAAGGATTTTGTCAAAATTAGCGAAAAGTCTCTATGAAAGTTTTGTAAACCAAATTGCTTTATAAACTGTTACCAGGGGCTTTCTGCCCACATAGCAGCAGCAGCAGCTCCCGTTTATATAGCTTTTTTTTTTTTTCCAGCTGTGCTATTTATTTACAAAGACCTCTCACATTTATATGCTTATCTGGATTTCCTCACAGTCATAAAGGAAAGATGGGGAGCATAACACATATATTTTTTTATTTGACAAATTTTGTATATCCTCAGATTAAGTAGAGGAACATTTCATGAATGTGAGATTATTCTGTTAATGTTTAAATACACATTTAAATATACAAAATATAAATACAAAAATATAAATATAAATGTATAAAAGATATAATTTATATATGTTTAAATATAATAGCTTCATTATATTAAATGTGCTCAAGCAAGGATTTTTTTTTCAAGTCTTGCCAAAATGCAGTTGTAAACATAAACATGTCCGTGTCAATTTAAAATAACCGTGCTGTTGGATTTAAAAAGTTAGAAACGTGACAAGAAAGTTGGAAGAAACTTTGAATAGCTTGAGAAATACTGAGACTTTTCATCCAACTAATTCTTTGGTTTTTGCAGGTGATACTATGTTACATTATCTCGTCCTAGTCACTGGATGTATGTCTGTTGGAAAAATTCAAGAATCGGAGGTTTTCCGAGTTACTTCCACCGAATTTATATCACTACGAATTGATTCTTCAGATGAGGATCGCATTTCAGAAGTGCGAAAAGTTTTGAATTCGGGAAACTTTTATTTTGCGTGGTCTGCATCTGGAGTCAGTTTAGATCTGAGTCTTAACGCACATCGTAGCATGCAAGAACACACAACCGATAATAGATTTTTCTGGTGAGTTCGTGTTACATTTTTCCCCTTTGTAATCATGCGCTTGCTGTGCAGGAGTTTGGTGGTTTGGGTTATAGTGTGTTCAGCAGTAATTTCCAGAGATAGCAGGGATGGGCATTGCTGATGGGGCACACAGCTCCCTCCTGCTCCAGAATCCTCAGCCGAGCAGCACAGGCATCCAGTGTCATTTTGTCGAAGCTCTCATGTGACACGAGACCCATTTGCTCTCCCTGATCCAGACTGACCTTTCATTTCCAAAATATATTCAAGATGTTTATTTTAAGATTAAGAATGAATTAGTTGTAGTAGAAGTGTGTTGCTAATACTTAACCGCTGTTAGTTTTGAGATCTTTCCTCTGGCAGTACTGTTTTCCTAAGACAGCATCACATTATTTTTAATTGAAAGATTATAGGTAGATAATCTTGGTTCAAGAGCAAGCGACTATGAAGAAGTGGTATACTAGGATAACACTGAGTACTATAATAAAATAAGACTTAAGTAGGTAACTATTTCATGTTTATGCATTAATGTGCTTTGTTCGAAGTGTGCACAAAGGGGGTGAGCACACGTGACTGTTATTAGTACTGCTTTATTGGAGGAGGCCACATTTCTAGTGTAGAGGTTCCCTTGTCCACAGCCAGCATGGATGTTGACTTTTTTCCTTAACATCATGTACCAATTATATTTCATTATGTATACAAATGTTATAAGGCCAAAGTCCATGACTCTGTGCTCTTGGGTCTCCCTTGGTAGTTCAGATTCAAGGTGTTCCTCCTGTATATTTTCTCTCCTCCCCCCCCCCCCCCCCCCCCCCACCCCCCATTTCCACCATTTACCTGTATGGTCCTTGAGTAGCATGTTCAAGTCTGACCCATCTGCCCTGGCTGGCAGAAGGCTCAAAGCCAACAACAACCTTAGGATAGGTTTATCTATTTCATCTATTTTGTAGCTAACATGGAAGTTTTTTGGCCCAGTAGTGTTCATTTCATTCTGCAGGGCAGAATGAAAAAAGACTCTAGTGCACTGTAGTCAGAGACTTGGAGCCTCACAAAGGAGGAGATGATGGAGGGGTGGGGAAAGAAGGGTTAATAGGGCAGATGAGTGGCATAGAGTCCATATCAGCCCTATACTTTTTCTGATGGAAGAGACATTGAAGTTCCTAACGATGATAGCTGCTGGGCTGGGCAGCTGTCCTTACTTTTTTACCCCCCACCCTGCTCATTCTTAACCCCAAAATCCTTAGATTAAGAGATAAAAGTTTTCCTGCTATAATTAGAAGTTTAAGCAGGTGCAGATGTATTGGTTCAATGATCAGCAATTAAGCACATTTGCCAAGTTTAGCCAGTGGGAATAATTTATTTACCATTTCGTTCAATTAAGGTTGAAGGTGGGGACAAGTTTAGATAACAGATTGAGGGAGTTTGTCTAGTGGAAGTCAGGTTGAACAAAGGGGAGACTAAAACACCAAAGATGAGTTTTGGTCACTTAACGCTTTCTACATTTTGCTAAGGACTGGGATTCTTTTTTTTTTTTATCGTTTATTATTTTTGAGAGAGAGTGTGTGTGTCTGAGAGCAAGCAGGAAAGGGGCAGAGAGAGAGGGAGACACAGAATCGGAAGCAGGCTCCAGGCTCTGAGTGCTCAGGACAGAGCCCAACGCGGGGCTCGAACTCACAGACTGCGAGATCATGACCTGAGCTGTAGTCGGCCGCCCAACCAACTGAGCCACCCAGGCGCCCCAGAACTGGGATTCTTGAGCTTCCCTTCAAACAGAAATATGAAAGTTTTATGCATTTATTATGCATACTCTTGTAGCTTAGTAGAAATATTTTCCAGGATACAGCCAAGTAAGTTTTTGTTGTCAGAGTCACAAATGCCTATTATGAAAACCCAAGTTGTTTTACTCCATTGGAGATTTGAAGCTGATGCCAGTTGAGAGTTGTTTATAAATTTCAATAGAATTAAAGCAGCAACACATTGGCAACAAAGGAAAATGAAAACTGATGGCAGACAGAGAAACTCTTATCTGAACAAACGCACAGGCTCCCGCTTCCATTTAAATGGGGACAAGTAAGTTTCGTATACCTCTGCCATGACATGGGACTCGCTATGGCATCTGGACATACTGGGTCACGGTCAGTTTGAATTTCGCCTCAGATGAGCGTAGGTAATAGTGAAGGTTTGGAAGCTCAAGTCGTATTTTGAAAATACGTAATGGCTGCTGGATTCAGCGTTCGTCCGATAGTGATCTCACCACTCATTCACATTCCAGTACACTTTGTTGAATGGATGGTTTACCAGAACTGCGCGTGACCACCAACGTCTGTTTTATCTCTACCACAGCCACGCCCTTGGGGGGAAGAGGGCTGGGCTACCACTGGTCTAGTAGTATTGCTGTGTATTTATGATTAAGGCAGCAAGATACTGCAGAGCACTAAAGAAGAAAAATCTCTACTTAAAACAGAAGAGTTTTAAAACTCAGAGAACCAGACTTCAATATTTTTTTAAATGTAATCTTAAAATTTTATTTACTTTTTTAAATTTTTTTTATTTTAGAGAGAGATCACACCAGCGGGGGAGAGGGGCAGAGGAAGAGGGAGAAAGGAAGTAGACAACCTCCAGCATGCTCCATGCTCAGCACAGAGCACCTGGGGCTCGATCCCATGACCCTGGGTTCATGACCCGAGCCAAAGTCAAGAGTCAGACATTCAACCGACTGAGCCACCTAGGCGCCCTGAACCAGACTTCAGTATTAGAGAAAATTCACTTTTATAAGACACCTTGTTATCTGAAAAGACCCAAGTTTTTCTGCACAACATTATACTTTCCTTGGTCAGAGGTTGGTTGGGAGATTCCGTATGCATTCTTTGGAGGAGTAAGGCTCCAGTAGAGAACCCAGATGAGGCAGTCTGTGGGATGAGAAGGTGGCCAGCCGGGCAGGCTTGCAGCCCGTATCCCTGATTTAGCCATAGCGACTCTGCTTTGCTGTTTCCTAATCATTTGGCTTCTGTGTAAGTACACAGAATAAAACTTTTTGCCCTGAAAAAAATTGAAAACCAGGCCCCCTCTGTTCCATAGAATGCTAAACTCCTTGGAGTAATGGAAAACTCTAGACATGTATTAATATGGTAGCTTCTAGTTCAGTTGGCTATTTAAATTAAAATTAATTGAAATAGAGCTTTATTAAAGTTGAGCCTTAAGAGTAAAGCTTTATAAAGTGGGATGGGGATATGCGTGTGAAATCCTTTTTTTGGAAAAGTTAGGTTATATATACATTATATAAAAAGACAGCAGAATAGGGCACAGCTACTAAAAACATAAAAGATCTGCTGCTTTTCTACGGACCATAGGTCACATGCCAGAGGATCGCATTTTAATTTTTTTTTTTTCAACGTTTTATTTATTTTTGGGACAGAGAGAGACAGAGCATGAACGGGGGAGGGGCAGAGAGAGAGGGAGACACAGAATGTGAAACAGGCTCCAGGCTCTGAGCCATCAGCCCAGAGCCTGATGCGGGGCTCGAACTCATGGACCGCGAGATCGTGACCTGGCTGAAGTCGGACGCTTAACCGACTGCGCCACCCAGGCGCCCCAGAGGATCGCATTTTATTGCCTCATCTGATTCCTAGCATGGTAAATGTAAATGAACTGGTTTATTTGTAGGGCCTCTTAATTGAATAGCATTACATTAATGCTTCAGGAGCACTGCTTTATTGAAGCTTATACCGTGTTAGCTGGCACTCAGTGAGCTAATGAGTTCTTCCTCTCCTGTTAGGAATCAGTCTTTGCACTTGCACCTCAAGCACTACGGCGTGAATTGTGATGACTGGCTATTACGCCTCATGTGTGGGGGAGTAGAAATCAGAACAATCTATGCTGCTCATAAGCAGGCCAAGGCTTGCCTCATTTCCAGACTCAGCTGTGAACGAGCTGGGACCAGGTTTAATGTCCGGGGAACAAATGATGACGGCCACGTTGCTAATTTTGTAGAAACAGAACAGGTACGTAGTGTTTTATATTGCTTCGTGCATGTATTAGATGCGAGGGCCAGAAACTAATAGAACCACAGTTTTTGATCTGATTCAGAACTCATTTTCACATCTGTAATGCCATTTCGGGGTGGTTCTTGGCTCCCTTCTGGCCTGAAAAAAGGCTTCCCTGAAACAGACTTATTTATAAACAAACTTAGGTGTGGCTCTTCAAATGAGTAACAAGGGGTTTACTAACTAGCATGACATTGTCGGTGCGGTACAGTTTGTTATTAAATTTTAAAAATCCTCAATGATAGAGCTAGACAACTTAATAGAAGTGGTTTGTGTGTGTGTATGAAATGAAATCAAACCCAGCTCTTTTAAAGGTAGATATGGATATCATCTAAAATGAAAACTTATGACATTTTCAGCTAGAAAGACAAATACCATCTGATTTCACTCATGTGGAATTTAAACAAAACGAACAAAGAAAAAAACACACCAAAAAAAGACTCTTAAAGACAGAACAAACTGGTGGTTGCCAGTGGGGAGGTGAAGGAAGGGGTGGATGAAATAGATAAATGAGGTTAAGGGCTTATCTTGAAGAGCACTGAGAAATCATCATTGAATCACTATATTGTATGCCTGAAACTAATATGACACCGTGTGCTAACTATACTTGAATTTAAAACAACTTAAAAAAGAATTATGACACTTTTGGCTCAAAACTGTATAATTGTAAATTCAGGCCACACCCCCCAGCAGAACTCAGTTCTTCAAATTAGTTTTTGAAAAATACTGAAAACTAAAGAAAAAAAATTAAATATAAAGGTATGTGTGTAAAATATTGAGATTTAGAAGGAATTCCTTTTTAAGACTTGTGCTTCTTGTGCTTATGTTTTTACTATTTTTTTGGTTAATATACAGAAAAACTATCACTCAGTAGAAGAAAGCCAAACTTCCTTAGTAGCCTCTCCCGGATATTTTGTTAGGACAGTTGTGCGGGAGAGATTGGTCATAAGATATAAGTTGCACGCAACAGATAGTAGTAAATTTGTCTTTGTGATGTAGAGGTAATACCTTTGTGCAAATGTTTCATCTGTTATTTTTCTCTGTAGGTTGTGTACTTAGATGACTCTGTTTCTTCTTTCATCCAAATCCGGGGGTCTGTTCCATTGTTCTGGGAGCAACCAGGGTTGCAGGTATCTGTTTAACATTGTTTTGTTTTTTTCTCTTGAATATTTTCCATATTTTCTCAGCTCTCAGGATAGTTCATTAGTTCCTTGGATAGTTCTGTTATTCAGTCTAGTAATATTAGCTAGATTCACAAATTAGGGTCTAAATGCACGAGTTCCTGGAATTGTCTTAGATGCTTTTCCTTTAATGTTCTTTCAAATGTCCATAGAAATTCAACTGCTGTATTTAATATTACAATTTTAATGTTTCCATAACACACTGATATTCATGGTGTTTCATATTTACTATCTCAGTATCTTTAATATATAGCAGTTTAGTCTCTTTAGGTAGAAGAATGTAGCAGTTAAAAAAAAGCTTCTGAAACCAGACTTCTGAATTTGCATCCTTACTCTGCCACTACTAGCTGTGTGATCTTGGACAAGTGGTTTAACTCCTCTGTGTCTCAGTTTGCTTATCTATAAAATGGGGATAATAATAGTAGTAGTTCCTATTCATAGGGTTGTAAGGATAAAATGAAAAGTACTAAGACAATGCCTAGCACCCATGGGCAGCACTGTGTAAGGGTTAGCCACTGTTATCAATAATACATCCGCTACTGAAATTTTACTTTGTAATTTATAGGGACCTGTCATCTTTAATACGTTCTCTGGTTTGCTTTCTGATTTTTTTTAAAACTTTGTTGATACAGGGATGCCTGGGTTTAAGCATCCGACTTTCGCTCAGGTCGTGATCTCATGGTTCCTGGGTTCAAGGCTCAGTCAGTTAAGCATCTGTCTTCAGCTTGGGTCACGATCTCACGGTTCATGGGTTCGAGCCTCACATCTGGCTCTGCACTGACTATGTGGGGCCTGCTTCAGATTCTCTGTCTCCCTCTCTCTCTGCCCCTCCCCCCACTCAAAAATAAATAAACATTAAAAAAATTTAAAAAATAAACTTTGTTGATATAAATATCTAATACTTAAAACATAAGATTCTTTCATGTAAGTTCATAATTTTAGATTACCCATAATAATGTGATTTTGCATTTTATTTTTATTCAGAAATCTTTAGTCCTTAAAGTATAAGTTATTTTCATTTTAGGCTTCTAGTATGTATTATCTACTAAGTTAAAAAACAGTTTTTTAATTTTTTTTTTTTTGTTTTGTTTTGTTTTGTTTTTTTTGAGAGAAAGACAGAGACAGAGTGTGAGCAGGGGAGGGGCAGAGAGAGAGAGGGAGACACAGAATCCGAAGCAGACCCCAGGCTCTGATCTGTTAGCACAGAGCCCAACACGGGGCCGGGCCGGAACTCACAAACCATGAGATCATGACCTGATTTGAGGTCGGCTGCTTAACTGACTGAGCCACCCAGGCGCCCCTTTAGCCTATAGTATTTAGAAAATGGACAGAAAAAAAATCTGGCCTCCTTTTAGTTCACAGCTGGATCTCTTACATTTTAGGCTGGCTGTGGTAGAGAGAGATTGCAGACCATTTCAACCTTTGCGGTACCGCACTTTATGTAAGACAGGCCAAGAATTAACAAGGGTTAAAAGCAGTTACAATTCTTGAGTTCTTGTCAAGAATTTTTGGTTCTGCGGGTTTTCTCTTTGGCATGTAGGGATAACTTAAGTAGATCTGTCTCTCTCCAAGTCTCTTTTGGGAAAGAACACCAACCCTACTCCACTTCTCCTAAGCCTGTGTGATCAGAGAAGGGTGTTTGGAATATTTGCTTGAAGAACATTCTGAAAGTGTTGTTTTGATGCAAGTTGAATGCTTTTGCTTTAGAGATAGGCTACTGTAAGAGATGGTAATAACCTCTGTTATGCTGCTTTCAGTGATATTTTATTAGAAGCTCAGGATCACAGTATTTGATTATTCAATATGGTTGGATCTTGAGTAGTTAACATTGAGGGGTCCTCCTTGGGTGAGGTTACCCTCCTCCCTCCTTCTGTGTTCTGTGGCTGGCCCAAACAGTCTGTCTGGCCAATGTCCTATTGTTTATGGGCTGAAAACTACAGATTTTTAAATCATGCATTTCTTGATAGTAATTTTTAAGACACGGAGATAGTCCAACAGCTTTGCTAAATTGTCACGGAGCTGGCCTATTGTTGTCTTGGGTGAGGATCGACTAAGTGGTTCTCAATTATTTAGCTTAGTAGTCTTTAAAATCAGCCTTTCTTTGAACAGAAATGGATTAGTTTCGTAAGTATCCTTTACAGAAAAACATTTTCCCTATCATTCTAAGAGTAGGTAATATAGGAATGAAAATATTGAATTGATTAAAAAAACTGAAAAATTTAAAAAAAATTTTTTTTAAATTTTAAAATTTTAAAAATTTTTTAAATTTATTTTTAAAAATAAAAATATGAAGTCCCCAAATTTATTTTCCTTTAGAAGACAAACAAGGACTTTTGACAGAGTAGTTGGAAGTGCTTATTAGGTATCCTGTGTATTCTCAGGACTGGAATTAATTTTAAACTTTTTTTTTTTTTTTAAAGTTCATTGAGAGAGAAAGAAAGAGAGAGAGAGAGAGAGTGCATGCACACGCACAAGTGGTAGAGGGGTAGAGGGAGAGGGAGAGAGAATCCCAGGCAGGCTCCACGCTGTCAGCACAGAGCCCAGCACAAGGCTCGACCTCAGGAACTGTGAGATCATGACCTGAGCCAAAATCAAGAGTTGGAGACTTAACTGACTGAGCCCCCAGGCACCCAGGACTGGAATTAATTTTAGGGTTTCTTGATGTTAGTGTTGCCTCGTGAGATGTCTCACTTCAGAAGGCCTGGACAGAGAGGATGCCTAGGCACTTGTCCCTTGGCTTGTCTCTTATCCTCCACAGTTAATTCCTCTGAGGTTTTTTTTAATTATAAGATTTTAAGGAATCATCTGAGGTTATTTTAAAATACAGATTCATGGCCTCAACTTCACATCAGCTGAAATAGAATCTCTTGGAATGGGGCCAGAAATCTGTATTTGTAACCAAGTTCCTTACCATTCAAATTTGAGAACTTCTGTGTACCTGATCCTATTCTGTTGACCTTGAAGCATCTTCAACCCCATGTGCTCCAACAGCCAGTCCTGAACCAGCGAAGGTAACCCTTCACACTTAGCCCCAGCATTCACCTAGGTACTGGGGCTCTCCCTTTCTTTCTGTTTCCACTCTTACCATCCATCCCAGTTAGGGTCCTCCGGATTTCTTCCTGCCTGGAAGATTCTCACAGCTTTCTAACTGGTCTTTCTAACTGGTAGTTTTTCCCACTTTTGATACATTCTACTCGTCAGATCTACCAGACACCCTTTTCTTCAGGATCTGCCTTCCTCTGCCTATCCAACTTCGTGCCTTGCTGTTTTCTAACAGGTATCCTCTGCCCCCCAAATTAAGGTGTTTCCTTCAGTATGGCCAACTCAGATCTCATTGAGTGGATTCAGTTACTCCTCCAAACTGATCTGTTCCTTAAATACTTAAGTCCCTCCAATGTATATTATTTTATACTGGGCATACACTGTCGTGTACTGTGAGAGATTCGAAGATTATATTGGTGCTTCAGAGAGAGCTTACAATCTGGGGAGTCAGGCCTTTTGTGGAAAAGGCAAATGTCAATACGAATCAGTTTGAGGAATTAGAAGAGTTGCCATAATGTGCTACATGGGGAAGAATGATATGTTAAGGGGTGGCAACTCATTCATTTTACTTATGACTTCCTTTCTCTGAAGTTATTTCACATATACACTTCATACTGTTACTCTGACATTATGTTGTAGCTTACCTTGGTCTTAGAAGATGGCAAGCATCATCAGATCTATGTCTAGGGTAGCGTTGCACACTCAATTCTTGGTTGAATTGAAGTCTTAGAAATATGTGAACATGAAGCAATAATATTGATGGAAAATGATGCTCCATACCACCCGGTTAAATGGTTGTTAAAAATGATCTCTGGTACAACTTTTTATAAATTTATGATTGTTTAAAGCCTTAAAACTTTCTAGAGTACTACTTTCATGACAATTGATGTAAGAGCTCCTTGACTATAGAATTTTTTTAGGCAGTTGTCTTAAAGCCTAACTGAGTGATAAAACCAGTCAAGTTGACCCAGCATATTACCCTAAGAGTTATGATATATAACTGGTTATATAATATGTGTTGAAGAGCAGGACAGTGGGGGAAAAAGCACAGCCGTTGCTTGAAAAACAGAACTTCCATTCTTTTTTTTTTTTTTTTACCTTCTTGACAGTTGGCCATACTGTTCAAGATAAATATTAATCAGTAAGCACAATGCAAAGTCTTGGACTTTTATAGAGGTGTAGGCAATTACCTGAGAAAACTCCAAAGAAAAGGTATTGACTTCTGCTGAGTTTTCTTCAGTCTAGAATGCTTAATGTCGCACAAAATTTTTAAATTTTGTAAAGACTACTAAGCACTATAAAGTGAAATTGAATATAGATGTGACATTAGGCTAATCACTTTCTTATTGAAAGGAAGAAACATTAAAGAGAGAATACTGATTATCAGGAGAGTTATTGGACTGTCTCACTTATCAGGACAGAAGCATGTTTAATGAATCATAATACTGTTAATTTTCGAATTGGATGAGCATGTTAGAGCTTATTTTCTGATTTTATGTGTCGAACTGTATGACTGCTTTGGTAGCCCTCTTCTCAGGCCCGCCTTAAAGTCACTGCGTTCGGATCAGGGAGAATGAATTCTGGGGAAACTTTGATCCCAAGACCTCAGGGGGAAATGTTGCAAAGTGAAGTTCAGGGAAATAATCTGGTATCACTGTTATATTTCTTCTTGGCATTTCTTTCTTTCTTTCTTTCTTTCTTTCTTTCTTTCTT